AGCCCTGCAGCCAATCATCATATCATAATAACATTAAGCCATGCACGTATATAAATATGACTTTATATATATGCAATCAACTAGTGGCGGCAATAAATAATCTTTGTAAATAGCGAAAGGCCTTTGAATTTGAAAATTACCTGAACAAAGCAGTCATGGAAGTGAAGCCTAAGCAAAGAGGCAGCCACCCTGGGCTCCCTCGCAATGGCCTGCTGTAACACTGAGATGACAATGTCATTAGCTTGAGGGCATGAGAACTGATAGAATTGCGGAAAAAGACCAAAAGACCCGCCAGCTGGTGCATATCCACTATGACCCCTACTAGGTTCACTGCCCCATCCGGATCCCCACCCGAAGTTGAAACCGGCGGGGTGAGCTAGGGACAGAGTACTGGCTGAGAACAATGCCATCATCACCACAAGACCTAAGAAACTCACTTTGAAGACTGCCATGGTTATTGATAATTCAGACCAACTCTTTAAGACTAATTTTTCAATTCCAAAGATTTCAGTGTCTGGCTTACTTGCTTGATTGCTGCATCTGTATGGCACTTTCTTAATTTATAGAGCAAATTAACCACTCTCCTACCAAATCCTCACTGAATCACCTACTCTGTCTGGATAAGGAGCTAGCTAAGAGTCTATGACAGACGACAAATTGACAATGTCAACTTGATATTACGTATATTTAGTTGCTTTCCTTTCTGTGAAAGAGAGTTGGGTTTCCGGTGTTTCTGGTATCACCTGCTCCGATATCACTTTTTATTCTCTCTCCTTTTGGCTACAGTTTGCATCACTTTAATCAATCAATATATCACATTGTCTAAAAAGAGAGTGCGTCTCTTTTGCTTCTGCAAAATCCCAACGCGGTTTGAGTATTAGGTAGGCTAAGGCTAAGGCCTATTTCATCTCAATATAGCTATGAAGCCTCAGTTTTGCAGAACATGGACAAGTTGAGGAAGCAACAATTTGAAATACCCTATAAGGTTTCTGACCTATTTTAAGTTTCAAACTTCTAATTTCAGATAAGTGCGACTGTTTCAATTTCGATGATTAGTTGATACTTTGCTATATACAGAAACCTCAAGTTGGACCAGTGTCATCGGCCATCATGGGATTTTCAAGTACATCCAACCACCCACACGCTAACTTTGTGTGGTGTGAATTTAAGAACTTTGTTACAAGGCCCAGTGCGGTACAATTATTTTGTGCAGGGCAACTAAAAAAATTCATAATAACACACTAAGAAGGAGAAAGGCTGAGTTTAAGATTTAAGAAATTTATCTAACAAGAAATGCAGTTGGTTACATCTGTGGTCTGTATCTAGTTTCTAATAAGCACCTTACACCCAACAGAAAAATGATACATATATATATGTACAACAGAATAATTACAAATATTTCTCGGCGTCATTGAAGAAAATTGAGATCATGATATGCACAGTTGCCTCAATGGTGTTAGCAGCCTCGCATACCGTAGTGGGACGTGTGCCTTGATCAGTGTCCCTTTGTCTGTATGTTCCTATGAAGTAAATATACAAAATGTTGAGAAAGACTATGTAACTGAGTGACACAGACCAAAAGAAAAAGAAAAACAAGATAGTAGATGCTTACCGTTCTCTCCACCATTCCAACCTTGTGTATGGTGCTGAGAAGCTCCCCTTTTTCAAACGGGATCAAGGCTTCCACCCATACCATAGAGTCCTGTTAAACAAAATATAACGTTATCTTTCAATTTATAAAAGCACAAACTCCACTCTTGAGTATCAAAAAATAAACAGTGAAACAAGCACACATACCTTCAATTTTTCCTGGACTGCATTGCAGAATTCATTTACACCCTCACCGCTCAGAGCAGATATGCAAACAACATCATCTCTCTTTTCTGCTTCCAACTTGATGCTTTCAGGATTGCTAACCTTATCAACCTGGAAAAAGGTAGCTGCATATCATCAATCTCGTGTATAGATTACAAGGGAGAACAAACACCACAGAAGTGAAAAAGAAATTCCCTAAGCTGACAATAAAAAAAGGGTAACCACACAATACACAGATATGATGATAAAATAGAGTGCCTTTACATTGGATGAATAACAGAGCCACCAAGAAGATTCACTGTACCTTGTTCCACACCATCAACCTTGGAATTGAGGACACATCTAGTTCTGACAAAACTTTGTCCACAGCATCTATCTGTTGCTCAGCTAGTGGATGACTGAAGTGGATATCAACATCTAATAAGATAACAATGTCCATCATCACGAGTGCATCATTTTAATATGTTTTCCCAACTTGTACCTGATATCTACCACATGCACTAGTAATGATGACTCTGATATCTCCTCCAGTGTTGCTCTGAAGGCAGCAACCTGAAAGATGCAGTTGGTGGAAAAACGTTAAAGATATCATCAGCTTGACTCTGAAATTGGATTGACATTCATCAAAACCTTTTTCTTGCAGCTAAGTTGAAAATGAACAGGGGAGGAGATAGAGGAGAGAGAGAGAGATGAAATTAAACTGCAGAAGTGGTGGCAGATTCATCAATAAATTGGGCTAGAATCTCACCACTGTAGTTGGTAACTTCTGAATGAAACCAACAGTATCTGTGAGAAGAAACTCTTTCCCATTCTTCGTCTGGAAGGAATGAAACAAGCATATATATATTACCACAAAGTGGAAGTAAAATAGCACAAACTTATTAGACAAAATATTAAATTTTCACCAAAAGACTAGCATATCAACAAGAGAAATACTTAAAATCATGCTATATAGACTCAATGTAAAAGTCCCGATGTTTCAACTGGAACAGATGCATAAATAAGTAAACTGATTCCATAAACTCCAAATTCTGGATTATAGGCCTTAAAGTAGCTCATTGTCGGTGGAAGAATCAAAGATGGTATAGCGTGTTGATCAAACTTTCATGCAACCAGAAGCCTGTTTGGTGCTACATCAAAATCTATGTTTGCATCTTTGACTCTTCAGTTGTTTATCCAGTAGTTAACTCATAATCAATGATGTAATAAGAAATTCCGTGAGTATGATCAAACTACCTGAACCCTTCTTGTGGTTGGATCTAGGGTTGCAAATAATCGATCCTCAGCCAGCACATTTGCTCCAGTCAATTGATTTAAAAGAGTACTCTTTCCAGCATTGGTGTACCCAACCTAGTTTCCCAAAGCATTACATGCACAACATCAACAACAGGAGAAAAAACCATCCATATAATTTTGAATTTCACAAGCTCTACGTATACTTACCAAAGATACTACCGGAACAGGTACTGAAAGCCGCTGATTCCGGTACTGCTTTCTATGCTTTCTAACAGATTCTAGCTCCTTCTTGAGAACACCAATCTAGCATTACAGACATTTGTATATGAAAATCAATTTCCAGAGTCAAATCTTAATTCACTAAAAATAAGAAGGAAACAAAAATCTCTAATGGAAACTGTAGTTTGTAATCTACAATTTCTATGGAAAGGAGCAGCATTAAGATATACTCGCATCTCTATCATGCAATGAATTACTGGAATACTTATCATTCAATTAACAGGGCTTACTTGAGTACGTAAGATACGTTTATCCACTTCAATTTGTTTCTCACCCATTCCCTTCACCTTGCCTCCTGCTTGACGCTCAAGATGCGTCCACATTTTTGTTAGCCGAGGTAACTGGTATTCCATTTGTGCCAATGCAACCTAGAAACATCACAATTGTCAGCATGAAAATTCTGGAAATTGTTATTTTGTTTGTTAAGTTATTACTACAAACAAGAACTTGAATCCAAAAGTGAGATTGGCAAATTTTCAAGTAGCACGAAACACATTATTACTACTGAAAGGGCAATGATAATTTGCCTGTAAAGCTGCTTCATGTGTTGCTGCCCGCTGGTTAAAAATATCCAGAATGAGGGCAGTGCGATCACAAACTCTAACTTCCCCACCAAAAGCCTTTTCCAAATTGCGCAATTGCCTAGAATAGTAACAGTTGAATAAAAAGAAAAAATTAATTAACTCAAAATGTGCACCATTAAGTCTCGTTCTACACCAAGACTAATGTCTTAAAAATTTAAATGAAGCTGATGAAGAAAAGGCTCATGCAGTTTTCCAGAATAAGACAGTGCTGACAGTGAGTGGAGATATGTATACGATAAACATATTTGTGCTGGTAAGGTTTTATTGAGGAATTGAGGTTTAAGCGGGTAAAATCTCCATATGTCTCAAATCAAAGCTAAAGAGAAGACAGCTCAATTCTGGTCCAAACCTTCTAACATTGATAAGTAGAGTTCCAACAGGCACAGCAAATTGATAGATGCAGGGAAAATGGAGATAAAACCGTATAACTCATATAAATCGGTCTCTATGGGAAGCATAAACATGCACGAAATAACAATAAAGTCACTCATAATGTTTCATACCCTGCTGAGAGCTCATCATCAAATATGACAGTCTCAACACCCAATGCGTTAATTGCACTCTTGATTTCTGCAACCTTGCCAGATCCAATGTATGTCCTTGAGTTTGGAGAAACGAGTCTGCATCACATATAGCGTTAGAAATTGATGCTAGGTGACCAACAGGAAACAATTTGTAAATAAAATATTCCGAAAACAGAAATAGTCTTCTGAAAGTAAGCATTAAAAGCTACTTACTTTTGATATGTGGAACCAACAACCATAAGTCCAGCAGTATCAGCTAGCTGGGTCAACTCCTTGAGTGATTCCTCTACACCAAATAAATCCTCAGTATTACTACGTTTGTGCTCAACACCCACAACGTAAGCTTTTTCTTCAAAAATCTGGGAGAAAAGAGTGGGTCATCCTCAAGAAAACCAATCAAAACGAGGAAACTTATCCCAATTTACCAGTCTTATATCACAATTTCTCACACCTAACTTTTCCCCCAGTTGAACTTTCCCAAAAATATGATTATTCTCAAAACAAAACCAGCATAAACACGAACGCAAATTTATTTTTTGGATTTTCTCTATAACCAAAGATTATTTCAAAATAAGACAGTACAAAGAAAAAAAGAGACCAACCTCCCTTCCGTTCCTTAGCTTGAACCTACTCTCGGAGCTGTCTTCAACCTCCTTCTTCTTCTTAACTCTAGTGGACGGAGTTAGGGCTTTATCCTCTGATTTGGTGTCCGCGACTCCATCAATGACTCCGTGAACCTCTTCATTTACTTTCTCTATGGTATCAACATCAATCAACGGAGGGTCCTGCAGCAGCGACACGTCGTCTGGTGAAACAACACCTAGGCCTTGTTCGATAGCTCTTACGACGATTCTTGGAGACGCATTGGAATATTTTCTGAGTCTGAGAGAGCTAATTGGCCGAACTAATTTTGCGAGCGGCCATGAAAGGTAAGGGTCCTGAATAAGAGGTGAGGAACGAATCAGAGAGCAAGAAAAGCATGCGCTCATGATAGAATTTTGGTCTGAAGTTGTGATCTTTGTGTCTCCGAGCGATGCTACCCAGTAAAGCTTTCAACTTTCAACTTCTAAGCGTATCGGTTTATCGTCGCGCGTTCTTTTCTTTTGGCCCAGATGACATGTCGTTATTTCTAACTTCCCGAGCATAGATGATGTCGTATTGTCGTGTGATGGGTACCGTATGAGGCCCTGGCCCAAATTTTTGACTCGGATTGTTGCGGGAAATTCCACCCAAAAGCCCAAATCATTTTCGTTCTCAACGATGTGAAGAGTGAAGACCTCTGCATTTTCGCCGCCGTTTCAGAAACGCCGTGTAATGAACTGCTTGTCGCAGTTTTCCTCATACACAGCGGCCATTTTCAGAACGACAGGTCGGTCCGCCGGGACGAGTGCTCTGTGCGGACCTTCTTCGTGGAAGAGAAGATTTGACCTTTGTACTAATAGTAAGTTAATCAACTTAGAATCAGTGCTGACGAGGTTCCATAATCAGCTCTATTCGTCTCGAAGCAAAAGCAGCAGCAGCAAAACGACATCGCCCCGGTCGCGGAAGAAGTCGAATCCCGAACCGGCTATGGAACCGGACAAAGACTCCTTCTATGTAGTGCGCAAAGGAGACGTCGTCGGTGTTTATAAGAGTTTCAGTGATTGTCAGGCTCAGCTCGGTTCTTCGGTAAAGTTTACTTATTTTTCTCCGTTTGTCATTTTAATGGGGTTTTGAATGTGTTCGAATTGAAATGTATAAACTTTTGTTCTTTGAATTCTGTTAGATATGTGATCCTCCTGTTAGCGTGTACAAAGGGGAGTCTATGCCCAAGAACACTGGAGAATATCTTGTTTCTCGTGGACTTAAGAATGCCATTTACACTATAAGAGCTGAAGATGTGAAAGATGATCTTTTTGGCAAGCTTGTGCAGTGCCCAGTTGAAGTAAGATTTCACTTGTAAGCTTCTGCAAAGAAATTTCTTTGGAAACTGTTGGGATTTTTTTTTTTTTTAACGTGACTGATAATTTCAAAAGAGAAAACTATGGCCCTGCTGAGGTTTATGGCATAGCAGTTGATTGCTCTTTCGTTTGTAGCTTATTCATAGGCTGGATACATCAGTAAGATAACATAATTATAATTTATACGCGAGGCAGAGGCACTTTTATTTTTAAGGTTGAAGAATGTAATAGAGTACGACCCCAAACTTATCTGGGCAGCATTCTCCCAAGTAATTTGTTTCTCCTTCCTTCTGATTGTAAGGTTTTTGTCTTTGCTGATCATGTTTTTACTTAGGTGGGTTTATAGTGGTTTGGGAATATGATGTTTTTTCTTTCACATATCAGGACCCGTGTTCAAAAGGTGAAACATCTGTTAAGGATGCATCCAAAAAGAGACCCCGTCAACTGTGTGGAACAGAAACTGAGGTAGGTTTGGAATCATAACAACCTTTGAGCTTGAATACTCTCGCTCAAGAATATAAAGAACCATGTTTATCTTTGGAATTCTATCAGTACTTATTTCTGACTTTCTAGCTGAAGATTTCGTTTTATTCTTTATCATCATTATTTCTTTAGCTAAACCCTCTGGTAAAGATGAGGTTCTGTGTCAGATGAACTTAGCTTGTACATTTTTCCAATGCTTTATAGGAAGAATTTGGTTCAACTTTCATATCAGACGATCTGTCAAGAAAGCATGCCAAGATAGATCATTCTGCTGTGCTCGAATCACCCCCCTTGAACAATGTAAGTTGAAATCCTGGTGATATCTAGTGGTTGGGAAAAATGCACTTCCATAGGATCATTGTATCACATTATGGAGTGGATAGAGCAAAATACGGCAAAGGCCTGAATTCAATTTACTTTCTTGTTAATTAATGACCATCGACTGGAATTTGTCTTATATTTTATTATATAATCAGGGGTTGGGGAATTCTCAATCACTTTTTCAGGATCTGGAGTTCTCTGTGTCAATTGTCATAATGTTTCAAAAATGTGTTGTATCACCCACCCAGAAAAAAGAAAGAATGATGTAAGCTATATTTGTAGGGTTCCTGTATTCTTATGTTTGATGGTGCATCGAAAGGAAACCCTGGACTAGCTGGTGCCGGAGCTGTGTTGCGAGCAGATGATGGAAGCTTGGTACATTTTACCTATGGGGTTATTTTTTGTTTAGTTCTTTGCCTCTCTAAGACTCTAACCATGCTTTTCCATATAGATCTGTAAAGTACGTGAAGGTCTGGGTATCGCAACCAATAATGTTGCCGAGTACCGCGCTGTCATTTTAGGATTAAAATGCGCTCTTAGAAAAGGTTTTAGTAAGATTGTTGTTCAAGGTGACTCCAAACTCGTCTGTATGCAGGTTTGTGAGTACTGTTGTTATCTTCTTTTGCTTAAGGTGTTTTATTTATCTCTGATTGTTTGATACTTAAGAAGTAATTTTTTCCATTTTCGATTTTGTTTTCTTTGTTCTGCATTTGTATAACTGAGAAGGTAACTTGAACAGGTTCAAGGATTATGGAAGGTGAAAAACCAGAACATGTCTGATTTGTATGAAGAGGTGAAGAAATTGAAGGATAAATTTCTCTCCTTCAAGATCAGTCATGTCCTCAGGGTGAGAGAAGCTGATTCTGTTTATCTTTTGTGCTATGTGATATGTCTTGTATAATAATTCCCCTGCCCCCCACTAAGCCCACCTGAACTTATATCGCCTTAGTGAGGCTGCTTATATCTTTCTGACATGTTCTCGTAAACCTTCAAAGGGACGAAACTCTGAGGCAGATGCTCAAGCAAACTTGGCAATCACTCTTGCTGGTGAGACTTCAAATCTGATTTTGTATTATGCACTTAGTAGATTCTGCATATGGTCAATTGAGCTAATCTATGTCCATGGGACATGTTCACGTTGCAGATGGTCAAGTCCAGGAGGTGTCTGGAAAGTAGTTTAAATGATGGTCCACCGCTGGTAATGTTGGGGTTTGTATCAGAAAATTAAGACATCACAAAATTTCTGTTTACACTTTGGCCTAAAGTTCGATGATGATGCAGGTGACCTATTTTTTGAAGATTAGACCCTGATGAGTAGTGTGGCTTTGAGGTTTGCCACTATGTGGTTCGTTGGGCATGCATTAACATCATAAACCATGGTTTCATCCGCAAAACTGAAGCTTCTGTTGGTTTGCACTTTTGGACACCAATTATTTCTGCAAGTCAATCCTTGGATCATATCACCCGCCATACAAAGGAGATTCAGTTTGACAAACACAAGCGGAAAGAAAAAGGAACACGGGATTTGCTTACAAAGGAATGCGAGCATAATGTGAAAAATTCTTACTAGCATTAATAATAATTGTTTCCATATACTTTTGGAGCTTATGTTGAATGTCCAAATTTCTGCACCCAAATTCAAAAAGAAATCACTTTTCGCTGTGTTCTATGAATACCGCAACTGTGAAATACAACACACAATCAATTGTTGATTAAGTTGATGAAAATTGGAAAGGAAAAAAACAGTAGTTATAAGAATACTATAAGAGATGACATAACAGTGGAGCAAGGACTGAAGGCCCAGATCTTGAATAACACTCTTAGCACTAAAATCAACATTGCAAATGGTAGACTTGAAATCCTTTACAACATTGCAAATGGTGGACTTGAAATCCTTTACAGCATTGCATAAAATCTAAACTTCCACTGGTGATTTTCAACATCAACCTCAAGATGTGAAATGCATTACTGCAAGCCATATCCAGTTGAACATCTTTTACCCCATCAATCCTCTGTGTGATCTGTGTTACCGTCACCAGTCATGGAGCCACCGGCTAAAGAGTTCGAATCCTCCGAAGACTCCCCAAATTCTTCTTTGTACATTTCTTCTATCATAGGTTTCCAGAGCCGAACTCGCGCATTTATGAACCAATTTGAAACCTGAAGCAGACACAACATTGGCATCACATGGTTAGACCAAGTTATAAATGAGCTGCTCAATTTGAAATCAATTGGGACAGAGATAAAACTGTTGGGGATTACTTGGTTCTTTGACAAGCCTGTTTGTGATGCCAACAGAAGCTTCTCAGAGTCATTTGGATAACTGTATGATCAGAACCACAAGTAAATAGGCAATGTTCAGAGCCACATATAATTAATTTGGATTAATCACAATCAAGGGCTAATTGGTTTTGGATTGCTTACGGGTGGAGGAAGTGTTCAAAAAGCCAAGTGCGAAGAATTGCCACAGAGGTCTCTGGCAGGCCTCGAATTGGTCTGAAAGCTTGGCGTTGGCTCTGGAAAATGCCAAGCTGTTGAAGAGACATTCTTTTGTGTCTGCACTCTCTGTCAAACAAGTTAAGTTGTGATAGTCCTGAACTGATTTTCGGTATGTCTTGCAACAGCTTTCGTTTTTCAGCATAGATATGGGAAACTATAGCATCTCTTAAGCTGCAAAAATGCCTGGACATGGCCTTGAGTGCCAGAGCTGTGTAAGACTTGGCGGCTCCTTCACCTACTACCATCTCAAATGATGACATCACTTCTTCCATTTGATGGTAGTACTTCTCACATCTGTCCTCAACCTGAAAACAGCAAGGAAAGTATTAAACAAAATAGTCCCAAGATTAAAATTAAACATCAAGATTGTATGTACCTGTTCCAACAAGGTGATAAGGTTTGCAAGTCTAGCTTGCAATTCATGCTTGTCAGCGGACATGAGCCCATTGCAGCACAACTCTGCTTTCAGTTCAGAAGAAAGCCCCATAGCACCTCTCCGGCCTTCACCATATAACTTTCCAACATGTTTTTCATTGCTGATGTCAACTTGTTTTCCACCAACATTAACAATCTCCTCTAAGAGGGACTGAGCTGGTTTTAGATATCTTGAATTCCCAATAACATCCGCTAAAGATTCTGTTCCATATGAAGTGGAACAAGATCGACTTAGCGAGTTTGAAGATGAAGCAAGCGCACTGCCTATGAAACAATACTCATCGCTTACATGTTCAACTCCTGGATTGCAAGCTTCCCCTGATTCTTCTCCAATGATAAAGTGATTGTGGCTCATGAGGTCTGAATTCATAGACCTCTGCCTATATTGGACAGATGGAACAAGCATGTGGGAACCAAGGGACAGTGAGAGCCTCTGTGCTTGGTTCTCCATTGCTGCTCTAGGAAGATCCATCAGATGCCTAGTGTGGTTGTTCATATCTGAGTCCTCTGCACCTGTGGGAGCTTGAACAAGGTCCACTGATCTGGACATTCTCTCCCCAAGAGAATGAAGACTGGGCAGGACACCAAGAGACTGAGGGAATGTGTTACTATTCCGGAAAGAAGACTCATAAGCATCAAGGTGTTGGCTTTCCAAATGGTTTTGGGCAGCAATGGAGTCTGAGATAATGAATTGGTGAAAGATACTTGAAGCTGGATTTGGGGGTGAGTCTTGTGAAACCATTATAAAGTTAAAAACTATGACAATAGCAAGATGCCTATGTTAAGTGATGAAGTAATGAAAGTATAACTGATCAGGAAATCTATGACACTGAGAATCTGATAATAGCCATTTCGTAAGCAGAAAATCAATATTAAGTAGTAAAGCATACAGTGCCAAAACAATGAATCACAATGCCATATTTAGTGGCTTTTCAAAGCCATGAATGAACATGATATCTGAGACGCTAAAGTTGGGGTTTGCTGCATGTGTGGTAAATGCTTGACCAGCCCAGATAAAAGTAGTTGTGTCATAAAGTAGAAGGCCATCTCAAGATGAAACCTGCAGCCTTGAAGAAGAAATCTTGAGTTAAAGGGACTGAAATCATCAAGACTTAAAACAAAAATCCTACATTATTAGGCATGAGTTGGATAGGTACATCATCAATGAATTAAAGACTTGAAAGAAATCACATTTGACAGAAAGAATCTCCTTACATGGGACAGAAGAAAATCCAACTTGGTGCAAGTAAATCTGAGTATTTAAGCTGTACGTGCTAAGCTACGATGACCCATTATAAATTCAATTGATGATCAACACGAGAGAGAGAGAGAGAGAGAGAGAGAGAGAGTGATTTTCAATTGCCAAAAGCATAAACAAGGTGGAAGCCTAAAAGTAGGGACCAGAAGAGATGAAAACAATTAAACTTTGCCACTAATTCCAACCTCTGATTGGCAGAGATGAAGAATTAACAAAGTTCAAGAGAGTGGGAGAAAAACCTAGCAAGGCTAAAATGAGTCTTCAATGAAGAAGCAAAGAGCAAGCACCAATCTGTGATTTCAAAGCATACCTTTAAATTTAATGCAGAAATGATTCTCTCTCTCTCTCTCTCTCTTCACTATGTCTCTGTTAACAGGCCTAAATCTAAGCAGCAGAAAGCTATAAGCCTAAAACATAGACTTCTGCTAGTTCCTTAAAGAAGCCCAGTTAATTGGCCAAGTAAAAACGAGAAAATGACAAGAGAAGATGGTCCCAATTTCCCTGGCTATAATACAACAACCAAAAGCATCAAAGCCTCCAGCTTTAGTGTCTGCAGTCACATTTCTTTGGGAGACTCAAAAGTACTTTCAGCTCTCTCTAAACAGTGCATGTCTCTCTCTCTCTCTCTCTGTGGTTTGGCTTTGGCTTTGGCAGCACAACAGCCCTCAGCATGTTAAATTGTTCTGTTCACTGCTGGGTTGTGTTGCTCTCTTAGTCTGTAAAAAGGAGGAGAAAAAGTGGGCTGTCTTTTACACACTCCCAGTTCTAGGATTGTCAGCTTGTGAGCCTCTAAGCATATGGAAATATCTATCTTTTTCCTGTTATGTGTCGTAATCATACATAGAGATGTTGAAAGGACACTGATTTCACAATCTTTCAACCACAACACCAAAAAAAAATTGAATAAAAAATAAAGATGGGTTCTTTTCTTTCTTGTGCTTAAGGTTAAGAGTGAGAGAGAGGGAAGAAAGAGAGGGAGAGAGATGAAAAAAAAAGGATATGGTATGATGTTTTGGTCATTATTATTAATTGAGGGGGGTCGAGGGTGAGGTTTGGTTTGGTGTGCTGATGAGACTAATTCTTGTTTTCTGGGTGTATCTTACTATTTTGGGCTGGTCCGATCGGATGCTTTAAGTAATGATTGCCATCTTTGTTCCTTTGGCCTCCTCCAGTTGTCACTCTCTGATTCTTCTTTGTTTCTTTGTTAATGTAATAGGGACCCTTGCCCCACCACCCCATAGATTAAAGGTGTCTCTCTCTGTGCCTGTATCTGCAAACTCTGAACCCATCCCAGCAAATTTCAAATCGAAATTTTCCGCCACAATTCTCCCCGTGATTACATTGCTTTGGGATAACCACCACCCTCCAATTCCAATTCCAATTCCAAAATTAAAGACTAAAAAGAAAAAAGAAAAACCAGTTTTGATTTGAGTACATAAAAAGTCCATCAGAAAATTCGAATGCTTGGATGATGGATAGCTTATGGACCTTTTTTTTTATTCAAGGAAGAGGAAAAAGATCACGTTAGGAAAAATCAGGCAATTCTTGTATCACACTTATTTCCAAAAGAGAGATTATACATTTGATGCTGTTCAAGTTCCTTATTCAATGAATGCACAAGATAATGCTTCATCGTATCTTTACAAAGCTACTTTACAAATATGCCTAAGGCTCTTCCACCAACCAATCTCTGTTATTTTACAAGTTGGTATTATACACGCATCTACATCTACAATCCCCCATGCTAGCAGCAGTTTCCATCTCTTTCAACTATCGGCAAGCGAATTGGGCACAGCTCAAGCAACAAAACAAGCATTCTGTTTTTGCTTCCTTTTTTTTTTTTGTTCTTCAACGACCCTTGTCTTGAAAGAGACCACTTACCACCCAAAAAGTTGTTGGAGGCACCAATTCTCTCGGACTGCAAAATCATGTAACGGGTGGGTATTGCCAAACCTGTATTAACTGTTGCTGCTCTGGATCCTCATAATGACAATCCAAAGAAGCTGCCGCGTCGTCGTGAACTCTTACATGGGATCCAGTAGATGAAGGAAATCCATCATGTTCTTCGCAATGTCGCAAATTCAATGCAAGTGACACCTCATTGCTGCCGACTGCAAATTGATCCAACCCTGACATGTCATATGTGGCAACAGCATTATGGTTGAGACTGTGACCAGACTTCTGCACTTGCCCTGGTTCATTACTATCAGCAGTTGCAGATATCATGCTTTCCTGCAACTCCTCTTTCCTGTCCTCAGATGCTGAGAATTCAGCTCTTGCTTCTTCCTTTAACACATTTTCTGGTGAAGATTTCGAATCCATGTCCAAATCACCGAATTCTTCTTTGTACATCTCCTCAATCATGGGCTTCCAAAGACGTACCCTTGCATTGATAAACCAGTTGGCAACCTGATAATGAACAATGTTAGTAATGACACTAAGCAAAAAAACACAAGGATCCATATGGCCTCAGACATTTGGTGATGAAATATTTTGAATTAAGCTAAGAACTTCAAATGATTAAGAGAAATTACAAGAATGAGTATAAGAATTTGATGAGTCATCTTACCTGGTTTCTGGTTAACCCTGTCTGCCTTGCTAGCATAACTTTTTCTGAATCTTTTGGGTAACTGGAGGGACACCAAAAACCACGAAAGAATCAGTGAACCGAAGTTCTTAAGAAACTGACAAGTATAATTTTCAATCAAAGGGGAAATGGTGTCCAGGTACATACGGAAGAAGGAAATGCTCAAACAGCCAAGCACGAAGGATTGCAACAGAGCTTTCCGGAAGTCCTCTTTGAGGCCTCCAAGCATGCTGCATTCCGCCAAGCTGCTGAAATGCCCTCTGCTGTCTGAGCTGCTGGTCCACATAGCGAAGGCGGGGTATTACTCCTCCTTGACCATCTGATGAAGAATCTTGCTCTCCCAGTCTTTTCCGTGTCACTTGAATTTGGCCTTTGATTGCATCACGCAAACTGCGGAAGTGACGGGAAATTGCTTGGAGAGCAAGTGCAGTGTATGGTCCAGCAGCCCCGTTCCCAGCCACCTTGTCAAAATATGACACCACAACTTGCATTTGCTGGTAATATTGTTTATATCTTCTATCTACCTACAAGAAAAGAAAAGAAAAGTCATATCAATTGATGAAATAATAACAAAGAACAAGTATTTAACAAAAATGTTTTGGAATTGGGATTATTTACCTCATCCAACATGGACAAAAGTTTGGTCTTCTTGTTCTGCAAATCCTGTCGTTCTGCTGGTGATAGCTCCAGAGTAGAGATGGTACTTGATTCACTAGGATCCGATGACCTTGGTAAATGTTGATCATTCCCATCAGTCTCTTTGGAACCATCTAATCCAATCCGCTTAGAGTTTTGATGCTTGTTCAATCGAGACTGCTTCAACGCCTTACGGACATTTACCACTTCATCAAGCAACTGTTGTGCTGCTTTGAGGTACTTGGAGCTTAACATGGTGCTAGCGGAACCTAATGAGTCATACAAGTATGCTTCGGAATGCATTTCTTTGGATCCCACTGAGCACATAGGATTGTACAAACTCTGTGTTTTGACAGTCTCATGGCCACCACCTCCATAGAAGCCAGATGTCAAGCTTTCAAAGTTCTTAAACTCCTCACTTTGATTGTACTCAACACCTTTACAGTAAATTTCCCCCTTCCCTAGCATTGGAGAGGTGCTCAAAACCGAAGAGAGACTTGGATTTGGATACTGGTACTGAAATGAAGGCAGAGAAACAGCAGGTGGAATTTGTGTGGAGGCAAGGCTAAGAGATAGCCCATGATCCTGAATAATATGTTTACCAATCAAAGAATCCCCAGTAACACAATCTCGGGCTTGATCACTTGTGGGTGGAATAAACATCATTTCATTCCTGCCACCATCAGAATCAGCATATTTGTGAGGCGAGAAAGAGCCGCCGGACAAGACTTCAGAGTAGGATCCGGCAGCATATGAAGCTTGATTCAGATACATCATCATGTTGCCGGGGGGTTCAGGATAAGAGGCAAGTTTCTCATCCCCTGCATAGGAGGGGTTCAATAAGTTTTGGTTGCTTAAATTTTGGAAATATGTAGCCATAGCTTGGTTGGTTGGTTCCTCTGTCTCCAAAGCCAAAGCCTTGAGTTAACCTGCGACGAAACCCAAATTACCAGTCTTGCTCAGAAACAAATTACCATTGTAGATCAATCACAGATTCCTAACATGGAAAATAAGAAACTCATCAAAAAGAAAGCCTAACCAAAATTACCAAAAGCAAAACCAGCAAAATGAAAAGGAACCACAGAGTGATCAAACTAGAACAGAAGCCAAATTTAAACCAAATATCAAAATCTTCTTCTTCTTTTTTTCCGTATCATCAGAAGTATGGTAGTGAACATATTAACACAGGAAATTAATATCAAGCACTCAAATTCCATTCCATTCCATCACAAAGAAGAATAGTAACATAATTAATTAAAATGAAAGCAGCAGGGGAGCTTCGTGAAGTGTACCTGAAAGGTGTGGTCTGGGAATGAATTGTGAAGCAAAAACAAATGGGGAAGCTTTAGATAGATAGAAGAGAAGAGAAACTGAGGCAAAGTCCTCCACCTCCTCGTCCTCCCTCCCGAACTGGAGACAAACACCAATCCCGAGAGATTGAGATATAATAATTTTCAAACAAGACCAACCTCCTTATCATTGGAACAGCGGCACCTACTTCTTCAGGAGAATATTATTATATTATGATTATTCATAATTGAATAATGGAAAGAATGGGGAATATCAACACCAACTTGAATATTTTATTCTCCCATTAAAATATTATGAGTTTTTAATTGTAAATAAAAAAATGGGGAAATTAGTTTGCCGATATGTATACGCTAACAAGCCAGACAGAAGAGAAAGTTCCTGAAGAAGACAGGCGTGGTAGACTTGGACTATGACTAGGAGAAGTGACGGGCGTGGGGGGTGGTGGTGGTGGGTGTTTGCTTAAGACGGTTCAAATCAAACGTTATTACGCTAACGGCTAACCAGTAACCACCAGTGGGTGAGTTAAGTGAGTCGTTTCAATTGTTGTTTGTTGTTGTTGTATTTTAATTTCTTTTTTCTTTTTAATTTAATTATTATATTGTTTGGATAATTAAGGGGTTGGGGATTTGGACTTTGGGCTTTTGGGCTTTGGGGAATGTATTCTACTATTGGTATGTTATTTATTAGCTGTACCACGTACTTAGCATAGCAGGCTGAAGTTGTGGAAAACGTGGGAGTTGCAAACTCACGTGTTTAGTTTATTTGAAGCCTCCTAGTACATAGCTTGGTTGTCTTGTGGGAAGATGGATGTACAGTCCGTTAACTCTAACGACGGGTTAGACTTAAAAGATTACACCGTAATTTTACCGTTACGGGCTTATGAAATTACTCTTTGCTTCTTTTTATTTTTCTAGTAAATAATAGGACTGGGTACGATACGGTTTGATCTGGTTTTCTCCTTCAATGAGAATTAAAACCCAAACTTACACACAGTCTAATTTGATTTGATTTTCATGAAAAGTGTCTAAAAGAGCCGTATCATTTTGCTCAGGGTGTTTTGATATATATATATATATATATTAAAGACAATATGCACTACGCATTTCCTTCTTCCTCTCTGGACTTTTGTTGAGCAGCTGGGGGCAACTCCACGGGGTCACACCACCAACAAACAAAGACCTTCAAGCCTACTTCAATGGCTACCACGGGGTCGTATGACCCCATAGTGGCTCCACCACTGATTATAACTAAGGCATTTGGATATTAATTGGGCTAAAATATATAGATATTTTTTAGAGTTATTAATGTGGTTTGAATATTAATTAGGCTTACTGATTTTGGATATATATGAATAAGTAAACTTAACATAATTGGTTTGGTTCAGTTTAGATTGGTTTTTCCAAGGCAATAATTAGGACAAGAATCAATCCAAAGTGAAACGGTTTGTTTTTTTAGCATGTGTTGACTTTTTTGGTCAATATAATTTTTTTCGACTTGGCTAAGCTCGATTCACCGGTTCAAATGCCCATCCTAACAAGTAATTGTCTTTTATTGCAAAATGATCCACCAATAGGCAATATCTTTCTTCTTTTTTTGGATATGAAGATGCATCTACCGTTATTTTAACATTGTACTTGCACATTATAAATGCCACCATCAAAGAAAATAACAGAAAGTATGGGGTTTTATTTTGAATTGAGTTAACTGAAATTAAGCCCTTTCCATAAACCAAAATACCCATCAAACACGGGTAGAGGGTTGGTTGTAGCTATAATCAGTTGTATTATTGATCCTCTTTGTTGTAACTACGGTTTCGTTGAATGAAATTCTATTTATTTCCATTATAAAAAAAATTAAACTCATCATATTAGAATTCCTACAACTCATCACTTTGAATTATGCAATGTTTAAATCATTTTGGTATAGAGGATGTCAAATGAAATAAGAGGATCAAACTTCGATATTGAACCCTAGACCAAAGTTTCCACCAAAATTATAGTTCCACCATAATGCCATATTACTCACCGATCTATTCTATCAACAACAAAAAATCACCAAACTATTATTTAGTTTAAGACTCAACATATTTCTAAGACTTCATTATCCAAACGTTAATGATTATACTCCTTAACAAATAAACTAGATATTATAAAGTTTATTATTTAATCATGAGTTATTATAGGATTAGACAACCCGATGTGCTCTTTTTGGTGTGGCAATATATATTTTTGACTGCGGAGAATATAGGGAAATTGACTACTCTCACCTTCTTGGAGAATATATTTGGTTCAGGGAAGAAACTATAAAATAATTAAAAACGACGACAACGACTTGCACTTAAAAAACAAAAGCAACAACTAAGGTGGTTTGTGTGAGTGGTTAGGCACTCTCATTCCTTAAGAGAGGTCAGAGGTTCGATCTCTGCTCTCGTACGGAGTCACCATTTTGGCAAACACTTTACCCCTTACGGGCCGACCCGGTGTGAACGGGGATTAATCTGGGTTGTGATTAAGACTTAAAGGTGCCACCCATAATTGGGGCCCATCCAGGACCACCTCGTGGTTCAGACAAAAAAAAAAAAAACCAAGAGCAACGACCACGCGGATTACGAAATCAGATATGTGCGTGGCAAATTAGGAAGGCTCCAAAAGCTTCTAGTGCAGTGGGTCCCAGAAAGAGATTTTTGATGAGATTGCCTATGCCCGCGCGCGTGATTAATTGTGTACTTTTTGGGGGTAAAATATAATCTAAGTATAGTCTAGACGATTACGAGGGAGGGACAAGTAAAAACACGATTAATTCTTAATCCTAGGTTGACTAATCATACACTTGTATAAGTATTTTCCCTGAAAATTTCGAGGGACTTGAGAGAGAGCAAAGCAAAGCAAAGTATTTCCGACGCTGCCGTCGACCTCTCTCTTTCGCGCTCGCTTGCTTAGGAAGCCATGACCAGCTCCTCTGCCGCTTCACGCAAGGTTCTTCTACTTCTCTCTCGTATTTTACAGTTGAAATATATTTATGGTTGTACATGTAGCCCCAATTTGTTTTCTTTTGCTCTCTTTTTAAAAATAAATTTTTGGTGCTTAGGCTTTAAGCAAGATCGCCTGCAATCGGCTCCAGAAAGAGCTTGTGGAGTGGCAGGTCAATCCCCCAGCCGGTTTTACACACAAAGTCACTGATAATCTTCAGAGGTTCCACTTTCAATTACTCTATTGTAGTTTTAATTAATTTTTCTTACGATTAATTTTCTAATGTTTGTTATTTCCTTTGAATTTTTGTGTGAAGATGGGTCATCGAAGTCAACGGAGCCCCAGGAACTCTTTACGCCAATGAAACATATCAGCTCCAAGTTGATTTTCCCGAGCATTATCCTATGGAAGCACCACAGGTCCAAAATAATTTCCGATTTTATAATTTTTTATTGTCTTCATGATGTTTTAAATCTTCTGTCTTGATTGTTGTAGAGTTGTAGATGTGTTAGGGTTTCAAACAATTGAAGAAAACAGAACCATACAATGTAGATGCTTTGTATAAACATTCCCCGAGTATTCTCTGCAACCAAGCAATCACAGAAGGACATTTATATTTGAATTATTATCTTAAATGATTGTGATTTATGGGTTTGATATCATCGTTTTGGTGTTCCAGGTGATTTTTATCCCTCCAGCTCCTCTGCATCCCCACATTTATAGCAATGGCCATATCTGTCTAGGTACTGTTTTTGTCTTTGAACTCTGTTTTTACTATTTCCCATACTATCTTTAGTTTTCAATAAATGCACCTGTATGGAACTAATGTATTGGTGTTAATTCTTATTTTCTTTTTTTGCTGAAGATGGAAAATTAGATTTCTATGCCATTCAAGTCTTGCTTTTGACTTACGTGATTGGTAGTTTAATTCTATCAATATGATGACTAGTTGTTAAGTTGTTTGGCTGTTACATCGTAATGTTTACTTACAAATTAGGAAACTTATACAATAAGTTTAATTGGAGCCTATTGAATTTGCAGACCATGCAAGTTTGGCCTTGGAGAGTATCCTTCTCTGTTCACCTAAGCTTGAGGCAAACTAATTGTGTCTACATTTGTTTTGATCCTAGCACTGTTTAGAATGTTCCATTAACTTTTGGAGAAGACAAGCCAATGAAGGTCAGCCATTACCTGAAAGAATATATCTGGATTAAAATTTGAGAAGCCTGGTAATATTGTTCTGTTGGCTCACACGCCCAATCATCTGGTGCCTACTGTAGTGAATACACCAGATATTGGGGCATTCATCTTGGGTTGGAGATTGTCAAATTCGGAATGGGCCTGGTCTGAAACTTGACAAAAAAAATGAACTAGAAGTCATGTCTAGTAGTGAGCTAGAAGGCATATAGCTTTTATTATTGAATCACAGCAAGTATTATAAGTTATAACCATACCATACTGTGAATTTAAGAACTAAGAACCAGGAATTCTTCAGAAATTTCGACGAATAGATTATAATTTATAGTGGAACTCAATTTTAAGTACCTGCTCCTTTTTTGGTTACTTTATGAGGCAACAGTAGTGAGTCCAAAGGCATGATTACTCACAGTTAAAGTTGTGAGGCTGTGGTTATTGGATAGAATCCTCTGAGGCGCTGCGAGTCACTGCATCGCTCATGTTTGCATCTAACCTTGTTATTGCTGTTATGAGCTTTTACAGTTCAGGCTACTATTGTTCCCTCTAGGTGTAAAGTTTGGTCTTTCAGGCACAAGAACCTTTCTTTGTTTTGTTGCTCGAAGAGATGAGATAAGAAAAAAGGGGATTATCTTGTACTTTTTGCAATCCTTGGTTCCCTTTGGAATGTGAGGCTAAGGTGAACAGAGTTCCTTGTCTTCGCAAGCAATGACAACTTCTTGTTTCTAATTTATTGTTGTCTTTTACATGCTTCTGCAATGTAATACTGAATTTTCCGGTACTTGGTGGTTATTATGCTCGACTGCGAGTTAGGGTGAGCAGCTTCGCTGGATTTGCCGGTTAATGGTTTTTGTTTTCATTTGCAGATATTCTATATGATTCATGGTCACCAGCCATGACTGCTAGTTCCATCTGTATCAGCATTCTCTCCATGTTATCGAGTTCCACTGTGAAGGTTTGTTTCAATATGTTGAATTCAAGGTTTTGATGATTATTGGGTAGAATGAACTCATGACCATCATTCGTGCAATTTATCATTGTGCAGCAACGCCCAGCAGATAATGATCGTTACGTGAAGAACTGCAGGAATGGCAGATCTCCCAAGGAGACGAGATGGTGGTTCCATGATGATAAAGTGTAATGACATAACAAATATTTATCAACTATGTATAAAAAGAAAAAAAGAAGGTTTTTGATTTGGAATACTATTTAATCAATGTTATTGTTGAAAGAGCGGGGAACCCCTT